TACAAATGAGTCCTGGTACAAAAAAAAAGGTTGGGAACCACTGCTATAGAGGGAAAGCATTGAACTAGATATCACTAGAGTGATCCATCAGTAGCCACCCTGGCATCCATCATTTATTTAGAGAAGTTACAAGAAACATCTCCAACCATAAACACAACCATTATGTTCAGTAGCCAAGAACAGATCTTAACATCCGTGAATTTATCCAGGCCCTTTCTGAATCTGGCTATGCTCTCTACCTCCACAACCTCCCATGATAATGAATTCCACAAATTAACTATGCTTTTCATTAAAAAAAGTCATCTCTTGTTCTTTTTCATGTCAGTACAAAGCTGGTCAGTGTCACTTCTATTTCCCCCCCAAGCACTCAGTTTTGCAGCTTCTCAAAGCATAACTTAAAGAGGATGCCCATGTCCTTTTCATGTTCTGAAAAGCAGCTCATGGCAAAACAGAAGCTATCTAGCCATTAGTTTGTATTTTCACCAAGAAGTGGGTCAAAGCAAGCTCTATTTGTAGTAGTGCAGCCAGCTCCCTCTGCTTGCAGATCACAAGGCTAATCTGTTGGCTGCCTGCCCAGTGGAGATCAGCCTGTAAGAGCCACCTCCTCTGTCTGGAAGCCAGCCTTCAAGGAGCCTCTTCCTAATCTTTCCCTTCAGGTAGAAACCAGTTGTGACCAGGGCCTTATTTAATGGTTGCAAGGAGCCCTCCATTGCCTTGAAACAGTGGAGGCTTGAACAGCTTCCAGAGGAGTACCAGGATAAGCTTCAGTTCCAAGCTCCAAGATAATTCAGAGGCTGCTCTGTATTGCTGGGTACTCATTAGTGGGAGCAACTCTTTATCAGCTCCATCCTGTTCCTTTCTTTCAGTTTTGACAAACAGGCCTGCATACAGAAGTGGGTTCTCCCAAGTCCAAAACAGTTCCTGCTTTAGGCATCACCACTAAACTGCTCTTCTTTCTTTTCATCCAGGTCAGTAACACGAGAGAGAGGGAGAGCGAGAGGCAGAGGGAGTGCGCGCGTGTGTGTGTGCGCGTGCGTGTGTTGGGGGGGCAGGGAGAGGAGGCAGTGACTGCAGCTCCATACTGTTTGGCAAGAGCATTCGGAGACTCCTGGCAGCAAGTTCCTGGTTGTTAGAAGCTACTCTGCCAAGCCTCCCACACTGTAGCCTTTTAAATCAGCAGTAGAAGTCCCAGCAAGGAAAGTGCCACCATGCAGGATTATGTTTCAAAGCAGGATCAATGGGGAATGTTTGCAAAGAGGGACAAAAAGGACCATATTTATCCATTTTATGTGGATAAGTGACAGTTGCATTACTGTATTTGTTTCATTACTCAACTCCATGGGAACTGCTTCTAGGGCTTAGCCTAGATGCTTTGCAGGTTACTGCTGGTTATGTGAACCAAGCAAAGATTTTAGAAAGATATGCCATAAAATTTCTCACTCCATAACTTTTATTGTGGGTTAGAGATAGAGAGGGACTCTCCCATGCTTATAGTTAGGGGTGCACCAATAAAGATTTTTTTGGCTGACACCAATAACCAATTATTAACCAGCCATATTGGCCAATACTGATCTGATGGCTGGTAAGTCTGTGGCGGGGGGGAAGGGGCGTGGGAAGGCCAATTGAGGCCCCCATGGTGATGGAGGGAATGGGGCTGGGGCAGGGGCAAGGGCAGGTGCTGCCCAGCTTGGGCAGAGTGGGTTGAAGGACGGAGCCATAGGCAGCTCATATGGGCAGTGTGGCTCCCTACCTCTGCACAGACCCCCAGGGGAGCCACGGGTGGCATATGTCCCCTGGATTTGTGCGTGGGGTGAGGACAGGCTGCACTGGACTCCTCCTAGTGGGGGAGGGGGGGAGGGGGCTGGACCAGGGCTGCATTCAGGGTAGGTTGGGGCTGGGATGGGTGGTGGCAGCAGTGGTGCTGGGAGGGGTGGCTACAGGATGAGTTATAGCCACCCCAAAATTCCCTATAGCCCTCCCCCTACCAGTGCCACTACCGCCCACCCTGAGAGCAGCCCTAGCTTAGCCCCCACCCCCCCGCACAGCCCCCAACCCCAAG